AGAATAAACTCGTCTAATCTCTCCTTTCATTCCTTCCATGAGACTCTTTGTAAAAATTGCTGTTGTGGTGCACATGTTGAAAGATCATCTCAGGACTCTTTAGGTCAAAGCCAATGTGTTGAATTGCATTTGGAACTAATGGGCACTCAGATCAGACGGTAGAGGTGTGATCTAGGTGGGGGACCTCCAGCTTTTGCAGTACCACCCTGTTCAACCTATTAGCATGCTATCATCTCTTCATGCTTTAAACATCCACTGTCATTAATTCAGATCAAGTATAAGTGCTTACCTTACAAGGTAATAGCTGCAAGTCCCAATGATGAGATAGAAGATGCTCTAAGGGTCTGTTCCCTAGGGCCGGGGAGGGAGCAGCAGTTGGATCTGCAGGTGGATGGATGGTCAGGAACTGCACCGTTCAAAATAGCACATACAACCACTATCAGAAGCTACAAGGTGAGAATCTGGGGATAGGAAGAGTTAAAAGTGCAGACGAAAGGAAAAAGTTGGCTGAGCAGATGGGCTGCAGGCATTGATGCAAATAAAATGTGACTCTGGCTGGGAACAAGAAAATTAAAACAGATCAGCCAGAACATGTTTTTCACCAGAATGGTGACAGGAGAAGTCATCCAATCTTACTCATTTCCTTTTTTTATCCAGAATTTCCTAATTGATAAGTCATGCTTGAGGATTAAACACAACAAATGTGGTTTTAAGTGATAGTGTGTCTTATTCTCTAGTTCTTTTTATTAATGAAACTTTACTCATCATTCACAGTTGTGATTTAACCTTGCAGGCAGTGAAGCACCACACAACCATTCGCTCACTCCTCACCTGCACCTCCTGCCCCTCTCCCGAATAGGGGAGAGAATCAGGAAAAGGAAAAAAAAAAAAAAAAAAAGAAAAACTAAAGCTGATGGGTAGAGATAAAGACAGTTTAATAGGATAGAAAAGGCAGGGAAAACAATGATAATAATTATGATAAAAAAATCTTTACACCAAACAAATGATACATAATGCAATTTCTTACCACCCACCAACTGATGCCCAGCTAGACCCCAAGCAGTGTCCTCCTCCCCCTGCAACCACCCTCGCAGTTTTATTGCTGAGCATGCCACCATGTGGTATGGGACATCTCTTTGGCCAGTTTGGGCCAGCTATCCTGGTTCTGTCCCCTCCCATCTCCTGATGCACCCCCAGCCTGCCTGCTGGCAGGGCAGTGTGAGAAGCTGGGAAGTCCTTGGCTCTGTGCAAGCGCTGCTCTGCAACAACTAAAACATCAGTATATTATCAGCATTGTTCTCATCCTAAATCCAAAACACAGCACCACACCAGCTATTAGGAAGAAAATTAACACTATCCCAGCTGAACTCATGACAATAATGAAAGTAACTAGTATTTTCCATATGAAAATGCTAATTGTTAGTATTTGTGTTAGCATAAAGGCATTGTAACAGAGGGCCTTGAGATCATACTGGGCTTCATGCTATACAAACGTAAAAGGAAAAGACAGGAATCCAAGCCTACAGCAACTTGCAGTTTGGGCATAGCAAAAACATGAATCATATAAAAAGAAAAAATCATGAGGCGACATTAGTAAATGGGCTCAAGAGCAGTCAGAAGACACAGTTTAACTGTTGCCCTGTTTTTAGTGGTATTGTACCAAAGAAAAGCCTTTAAGGAAGGTTCTGAAGGTGAACTAAAACCAGGATCCCTTACGTTAGGGGAGCTATGAGGCGCTTTGCAACAGATACAATATAGTCTGGCATCATGGATGTAGATATGGGAATCTGCTTCAATACTGATTGAAAAACTTTTAGTGGGATGGGATAGTGTCAGTTGCTTTGAAAATGAATACAACTTGCTTATAACTGAACTGTTTTCCACAGGAAGAGGGAAATCAGTAGCAATACACAAAAAGTGCCACATGTCACATGGTCAAAGAAAGAAGATAGGAAAATTATATAGTTTTAGTTTAGATAGATCTCACATGCTGAAGAATTTACTAGTTAAGGTCAAATAAAAAGATGACCAGTTAAAGAGATCATGGATGAATGCATTTAAGAATGGAAAAGGAAATTTGCATCTTCAGTTTATCATGCAAAGCATGCAAGACTTAGAATTAACTAGACTGTTAGGTTGTAAGAAAGTCAGACTGCCCAGGTTATGGGGCTGAATCACTGGAAAGTATGAGGTTTTATCCTGGGACTGAAAGTGGAGGGGGGAAAAAAACTTATAGAATACGGTTGAGCTATGTTTCAGCCATATGCTCAAGATCTGAGGCCAAGACTAGTTAGGACAGTAGGATGTCCTACTGTCCTACTGTTTGGGTTATTTCTGAGTCATTTCTCGGACTCAGCAACAAAGAGACAGGAGTGTAATTTGCTTCCATGGACCAAAAGAGAGAAGAACCAAAGGGGGCCACAAGGACAGTCCTCAAGTGTTCCCTTAAATTCAGAAATGAAAATAACTTTGGTTACTCATTAAAAATATCAGTTTGGTTCTCTGTTTTAAAGAAATCTGCATGATCTCACTGTGTTGCACATTGCCTTGGAGATTGGCCTCACATGAAGTCGAGACTGACAGAAGTGGTTTTGTTTTGATGCATATTCCATATAGTTTGCTCCAGAGAGACTGTGGTGAAGTATGCGACACTTTGGGCACCATTCAATAGTGTTTGGTTAGTTGATGATAATCTCAGGGGATACAGCAAGCTCCCTCAGCTAGAGGGAAACAGCAGAATTACCACAGTCGGTGGTTGAAATGAGAGTGATTCTTATGATTCTTTCAGAATAGAAAAGAGATCAAGCTGCTCACAGCACTGGTTTCCTTTTATAGTCTGATGGCATCCATCTAATGTGACAGATACTTAACAAAAATACTTAAAACAGCAAAGCTATCCAGTTACCAAATCGTGACCTGATGAAAGAACATATTGTAGGGGACCAGAAGAGTTGAAAAGGGAAAGATAACTGCATTGTTTCAATGAGTTCAATGTATCAAAAATAACTGTTTCTCCAATTCACGACACTTTAAAGAATGAAAGTGATATTAAAGAATGAAAATCTCAGACAGTTTGGCACACATGCTGTCTTCTTACATAAACAACACTGGAAAGAAACATATGCAGAATCCAATTCAAGAGCCTCGAAAACAGAATAGCTTTAGCTACTAAAAAGAAAACATTTTCAAAGTATATACTGCCCTCCCGTGTACTATTCAAGTATTGCCTCCAAAATGCAAGTTCTTACCTCAAAACCTCAGAGTAAGGTGGGGCTGTGATAACGTATTTAATCGAGAAGTATGGATAAAATCCAAGCAAAAAGGAACATAGTGAAGAGACAACTCAGACCAGGGCTGGTACAGTCTGCAAGGAGCAGAAGCTGATCGTTGTAACTGGTCTCCAGACAGTTTCATCAGTTTCAAAGCATCATCTTTTATGAAAAAGACCGTGCTGGTTCCCTAGCACCAGAAGTCATGAGAGTTTATTCATTTGGGAACTGCACAGATGCAAATGCACAGTACAAACTGTTGTTTAAAATAATATGCACTCTGATAAGCTGAGAGCCACAGTGTGGTTATAGGGTCAGTTTAGATGGGTTAGCTCTGCTTAAGTACTGCTTGTGCCAGACAAAAATTATGAACTGAAAGAATTTGTCTGTGTTTAATGTAGGTTAAAGTCATAGAATCATACAATGGTTTGTACTGGAAGGGACCTTAGGACCTTAAAGATCACCTAGTTCCAACTCTCTGCCATGGGCATGGACACCTCCCACCAGACCAGGTTGCTCAAAGCCCCATTCCGGCCTGGCCTCGAACACTTCCAGGGATGGGGCATCCACAGCTTCTCTGGGCAACTGTGCCAGTGCCTCACCACTCTCTAAGTAAAGAATGTCTTCCGTATATCTAATCTAAATCTTCCCTCTTTTAAATTAAAACCTTTACCCTTTGTCCTGTCAGTACAAACCCTGACAAAGAGTAGATACTAGAAGGCCACTATTAGGTCTCCCTCGAGCTTTCTCTTCTCCAGGCTGAAAATGCCCAGCTCTCTCAGCCTGTCTTCATAGGAGAGGTGCTCCAGCCCTCTGAACATTTTTGTGGCCCTCCTCTGGACCTGCCCCAATTTCCTTCTTGTGCTGGAGGCCCCAGGGTAAATTCAGGTTCTGTAGTTCTCCTTGTCCCAGGCAAATAGTAAAGCAATGCCAGAGCTGCCTTTACATCCCTGCCACAATCGGTCTGCAAGCAAAATAAACTGTTCAAGATAACTAAGGTTGTCTAAGAAATGACTGATTTCTGTAAGCAACAGTAATTTTTTCCAATAAAAGTTTCTTATGAACAAGATGAGTTCCATGCATATGTGCTGAAATACTTATCTGTGCAGAGACAATTTCCATGCTGGAATATTTCTTGATAACCTTCTCAATGATTCTACTTTTTTGCTTATTTGTTTGTTTGTTTAATTTTAACTGGATTAAAAGGACTAAAGTGTGAAAAATTAATTTTTAATCTCTTTTACACAGTACTAAGCTGTAGAGAGGTATTACTGTACTTATATACAATCACATATCACCATAATATAGGTTTTACTTACCACTAAATTCTTACCTTTTGTTTTTCATTTTAGTTTGCCCTTTTAATAAAAACAGGTCCCCAAGCAAATTCAGAGATAAATCCATGGCAAAAGAAAGGCTTGGTACATTGCAAGTCACATTTGCACTTGCAGAATTTGAACATTAACTTGGAAAACAAAACAAAACAAAATAACAACAACAATAAAACACATTATAGTAAGACTGATTTAAAAACAACGCTTACCTGTCTTCCATGCAAATTATGGCTTCATAACTTGATTTAAAAAAAAATAAAAAAAAATAATAATAAGATGAACTTAGTTACTAATTGCAAAAATGCAGCATAATATAGATGGTAAGTAACAAAAACTCCAGCAGTTAAGTCAAGTACTAAATTCTGACAATGTTTACATTGCACACTCAAGAACAGCATTATTGCTGAAATAGATTCTTTATTTCTGAAACATTCCAAAACAGCAGTATACACAGTTGTAATCAAATATTAGGTCATATGCCATTATAAGAAAGCATTGATTAGTGCAATTGGATTTTGTAAAAGATCTATCAAAAAGATTTATTCACATTAAAACTCATTTTTTCATAAGCAACTGTTAATAAAACATTACAATTTTATTCTTTGTAATAAAGTATTGAAAACCAAACATAGTTGTAGAGATCACTGTATCTTGGTAAGTGCAACGTGACTTATGCTGCCATTTTAAATACAAAACACTATGACAATAAATTAACAGTTGAACAAACGTTGAAAGACCAACAAAACCATGCTGACCCTGCTGGATGGCAGTTTCCAGTGAATGCTACTTTTTTTGTGCTTCTGCAACATAAATATACTGCTTTGTATTGCCAATGGTATGATTTTGTAAGATATGTTCCTAGCGCTAAAAAAGTACATTACCCCAAAAATATTATTTATGGCACAGAAAAGTTAATTTATCTCTCTGTTGTTCAAGATTCAGGCAAGTTTAAATGAACTCAAGTATATAAAACAAAATGTACAGGAAGCACTAAAAAAAATAAAAAATTAAGCACATACATTAAGTCCCCTCCAAATTCAAAATAAATGCATGATGCCTTTACAAAGAATAAATTATTTTAGAATTTCAGTATGGCAAAGCTGCCCCAAAAGCATTAGCTCCAAGTTCTTTCAGAGGAAATATTCTGGTACTTTTCACATACATAATACTTCAGTTCTATGTGATAACACTGCCACTGTTAGTCTGATAACAATGCAGCTGTTCAGGTAACCGATTTAAGTGCAACATTCAGTATTTGATAAGATGTTCATTTTTTAGAAAATGGCATTGCATTATGGATGTTTACATAATAAAATCGCAGGGGAAATAATACTGCATGACCCTCCTTTCCCAAGTCATCTTTACCCAGCCAGCTGGGTAATGAAATCCATGTTACTTATTTTTCAATGTTCGTGGGCATCCTTCATCAATAGCAGCCATCTCTCCAGTTCCCATCCCGCATCGTGCTCAGCGATGAAAGTGGCTTAGGAGGCTGAAGAAAACTGTATGAAACAAATCACAGAAAAAGACAAAGGAAGTCATATTTCATGTGAAAGATCAAGATAGCAAATGCCATTCTCTTCTGTAGTGATATTGGCTTTGTAACTCGCTTGGAGACTTCACTCTAGCATATTCCTGGCTACATGTTAATGCAAATATAAAGACCTATGGTGAAATTAAGACCTCCAATGAGATCCCATTAATGTCATTGGATAAAGGGATTTCAAAAAGGAATTTAGTGAATAATCCTAATGATGTATGAGACCCCTCAAAATGGGAAGATTTAGTTCTTCAGGTTAAAGGTTCTGAAAAATATAAATATAAACCTCTTTTGTCACTATGAACAACACACATTCCAATAGAGACAGGCAGCAAAGATGTAATGGGAAATATTCAAAAAGCTGTCGTGCTCAGTATGCTCTCTCAAAAAAAAAAAAAAAAGAAACAAAAAAAAAAAAACCAAAAAAAACCAGCATTTATAGAAACACTATGCAGGCACTAAGGAATTTAGGCATCTTATCAGTTGAAGAACTGTATTAAGTCCTGCTCCAGATCCTCTTATCCAAGACTCATAATTACACGTTTCCATCACACAGCCAAAGTCAGAGAGCTGCCAGTTCCTACACCACTACCCATGCAGAGAGTTTGTGGTCCTCCAGCACCACACCTTCACACCTGGGCTGTATCTCATTAATGAGCAGGGATTTATTTAAAAAGTCTTTGCTGACTGTCCTCCAAAACTGACAGGTTTTTACTTTTGAAGTAACTGTTTTAAATAATATTAAACAAGCAAACAAACAAAACAACAAAAGAAAAAACAATTTATTTGACCTAAATATCAAACCACTGGTGACAAGGCAAACATATTTTAGTTACACCACAGTTTGCTGAAAATAAACTGTCCCAATTCTGTGAAACTGTTTCTTATAAAACCAGGTCTTAAGCCTTGTTCTCTCACTTCTCTACTTTTCCTTTAATGGTAACTGCTGTAACTTACTGATGCCTCCTCTCCCTTCTGAACACCCTTGCATGGAAGAAAGCAGATGTATGTTGTAAGAGAGTCAGTAAGCCAAAAGCAGTCATCAGAGCAGTGCCTCACGTCTCTGCTACAACTGATTTTCCTACTGGCCAAAAAATTACACTTCAGTAAAAAAGATGAGTAAACTTAGGCTCATCCAAGATGTTTTTGTGTGTCTCCACTTTGTTGCAGTATCCCTTATCTTTGCTATAAATCCAGTTTATTATAAATCTAGGCATAAAACATGACCAGCTTCTGCCTTGTTCTACAACTGCTGCTTTCATTTCTTTTTTTTTTTCAGAAGGAAGGAAGGAAGGAAGGAAGGAAGGAAGGAAGGAAGGAAGGAAGGAAGGAAGGAAGGAAAGAGAAAATATTTAACAGTGTTTGAGAGAAAACAGAGAAGGACAAAAGTAATGAAGAATTAGTGAGCTAAGATGAAAATAAGCATAAGAATACTGCTGCTTATCCAGAGCTGGATTCCTGCTTAACAAGAAAGCACACCAGCATTGAAAACTTGCAAAACAAGCACAAGCTGTCAGTATGATGCTATATAGTTTGAGATAACAAAGTTTTGGAGGGCCTGCAGACTCTTTCAACTTACCTGTCATCAACTAGATTGTAGTCGACCTCTTCCTGCACAAGGCAACAGGAATAATCAAGCCTTCCACCTTTGCTCCATGGCTGCATTTAGGTTGCTGCCATGCCTTTGCCTGCTGCATGGGAGAACCTACACCCACACTTAGTGACTTGACATCCTGGGTTAGCTGAGACCTGCCTTGTCACTGGGGACTCTTCTGGAGACTGGGACTGTTGGCTGGCCCTGGTCACTGCCATAGCTTTGCTCTTCTTTTTTGGGTATTTTGGGGTAGCTTGGCTGTCCCATGTGGCTCCCAGCTCACCTTGTTTCTACCACCATGCTCCTGTGAAGAGCATGAGTGAAGATGTAAAGTGGAGGACTGGAATGTAGGAAAAGGGGTTTAGGAAGGTGGGTCTGTAAGAAGCCCAGAGCATGAAGTTGGAGAGTGCTGGCAGTTAGGGGGATACATTTAACAGAAATAAATAAATAAATAAATAAATAAATAAATAAATAATAATAATAACAATAACAATAACAATAATAATAATAATAATAATAATAATAAAATAATGCTGCCTCACTAGTAAGGCTAAATATAGGTGGAACGTACTCATTACAGTTTCTTTACACTGCTTTGGGATGCATGAAACTCTGATGATAAGGAGAAAAGCAGGTAGTATTTAGCCAAGTTGGTTATTTTGTCTACTATAATTTTATTTTACAAATTGTCAAAAGCACTCTCTCATGTGTTTGGTTCTATGCAGTAAATACTGAAGTTCACTAACTTTAGGGCTTATGTAAAGTGTCTAACAATCCATTTTAAGTATGTACAATACCAGTAACTTGTTTGCATAACAGTCTGGCCAGTTTTATTCTGAATGTGCACTTCTTCCTGAACACCTGATTTATTAATATATATATATATATATTCTACCTTCAATAAAGTTACAACTAAAACCATTTAAAGTTTCTGTGTGCTAATAGAAGCTAGAGTCTTGAACAGATAATCAGAAATACCATTCCTTAGAAATGATCACAGTGACAAAATCAACACTTAGAAAATCTGCCTGTCATGGTTGACTTCCTTCCAAGAAAATTTTGTATGCACTGAAGATATTTTTATTTTCCAAATGAATAAATAAAATTAAACTAGGGTCTTAAAGAACTGTTGGCTGACCTCCAATACGTCTGTGCTTTTGGAGTCCTATAAACTTGTCATTCACACAATGTAAACACAATCTATCTTCCAGGATCATTGGTCTGGTTCTACAGCAACATATGATGCTGCTAAGGTACATTTTAAGGTGAGAAGATGGGAGCCCAGTGTTTCTGTACTATAAATAGCTTTTGAATTAGATAAATTTGAATGAGCTTCTAATAAAAAATAAAAAATAAATAAAAAATAAAATAAAATAAATAAAAAATAAAAAATAAAAAATGAAAAATAAATAAAAAAGTATTGAGACTACAGTATTTCACCCTCCCGCTGAAACCTCTTAATTTTTTTTTTTAAGGTTGTCTCTTGTAGGAAGGATAAAACAATAGCAAGAGACTGGTCTTTGTGGACCAGAAAGTCTCTGTTTCCTACATGTTGCTATGAAAGATTTAAGAGCCATGCAGAAGAACATGAAGTTGAGGGAAAGAGAAAGAAAGAAAGAAAGAAAGAAAGAAAGAAAGAAAGAAAAAAAGAAAAAAGAAAGAAAGAAAGAAAAACCTCTACTATGAAGAACTCTAACAGAGGGAGATCCAGCAGAGAGCAAAGAAGGTTATAATAGAAATCTCATGGTACAGTCTCCATCAAAGAAGAAACCTGACAGCTTTTTATCAAAGTTTCACTGCAGTTGGTCAAAATCTGTTGTCAGTCACATCAGTGTAATCCCTGAGTAACTCAACCAAAGAGAGAATGTGAGCAATTGAACTTATTCTGGATCTAGCAAGTACCTAGTGAAAAGCATAAAAATGGTGAAAGTTAAACACTGACAGTTCATCCAACAGAAAACCAGGTGGTCAAGCAGCAGGCTTTCACAACAGGAGGGATGCACATGATGGGAAGAAATAGTGGGAAGAGTTGACAAAAGTTGATTAGAGTTTCTTTTTGAGAAACTTCAACACCTATTAATCATAGAATGTATGATACATAGAGCTAAGAGTTTAACTCTCAGCTGTGATTAAAACATAGTTCTTTCTTCAGGATTATTTTATTGCTTACCTTAAAAAAAATATTTGGAGACAATTCTATTGCAAAATGCAAAAATTCATTTGTTTAGCAGTATAGTTTTTCTACTGTTCCCCAGCTGAAATTGACAAGATGCTGCTTCATCCCGAGAGGAAGACATCCAAAATATCTCCTTCCTCACAATTCTGTAACATCACAAGTTGCATTTTTACAGTCTGTTGCTTTTTACAGCAACAGGCATGCAAATCTTTCTCATGCTCATCCTCAGAGCTTGAAATAGCTGTTGGCACAAGTCTGGAAGATGGTGAGTCAGATATACTAATGCTACGAGATTTCCATTTGTTTTGATTTCTTACTGGTGGGTGGTATTACGTTCTTATTTATATGTAATTACACTCTATCTGTAACAGTTTATTAGAAATTACCAGCAGGCATTGTCCGTCACTATTTGTGGAGTTAAATCTTTACCCATTCACTGACTCAGCACTGGGAGCTAGAAATGCTTCTCCTTTATATCCCAGATTCATACTCCAGAGGAAAACAAACAAACAAACAAAACACAATCCATGCTAAGGCCAGCTATACAGGAACAATGGCCTGTTTAACTCTTACCTTCGAACTGGCTGTGCAATTTTACTTCTGGGTATGCCGCTCCCATTGATGGCCAGCGAGGGTCTTGGAAGAGCACTGCGCCCCACAATCCCTTGACTAGCAGTCTTGTTTGGCATTGGGATCCCAGTGTTAGAATATAGCTGTAAATTGTTGGACACTGGAATGCTACTGCCTTGTACAGTTGGGCTTACATAGGCAGTAGCTTTGAGAGGCTGCCTGACAGATACTGGAAAATGTCCCACACTGTGAACTCTGTGCTGAAGCTGTCCTGGTGATGGAACTGTTAGGAGAGGTAGAAAGGAGGTAGGAGGTAGAAAGGTACAAGGTCAGTACCCAACAAATGAGGCCAGATAATAATGCGCATCTCTATACAAATCTAATTACAGTTAAACACATCGTTTTGCAATTAACTTGCTAATTATAAACTACTGAAGAACCCCCTGGATCCAACCTGCACCAAACTAAAATATCCTGTTCCATCCCCACACCAAACAAAAATACCACCCTTATTTATCCTTCTTTCTCCCCTCAAAGAGGTTTTGTTTTCCATTAAAAACACACTAATTCCACCTATGCAATTAGAGCCTTAAAACTGCTGAAGCTCTGAGTTAATTACTTTTAGATTGTTCAGATTTTTGTAAGGTTGCTTGTAATAACCATATCTTGTTTAATGCTTATTACATTAAAGCATTACAAAACATCACAAAAGTCTAAGCTTTATTTATATAAAAACAATCAAAAGGCTCTAAAAAGGTCCCAAACATAACAAGATATTCCAAAGCTGATGCTATGTAAACTATCATTTTAAATCAATGCTACCCTTTCCAGAAGCTTTATATATAGATTCTCTACACAATTCTGCCCTCTGGTGTACATCAGACACACATCTATTCCAGAGTCCACATATCAAAAACAAACTGTAAAAAGCCTAAAGCACATAAGCCAACTATTGCACACAGGCCAATCCTTTTTCAGCTCTTTGAAAAAGGACATCCTAAGTACATTTAAAGATACAGTTGAAGAAACAGATACACGAATCAATTAAATATGACTGGCAATACATGTATATTGCTAAGGAAACCTTATCACAACACACATCCATAAAAAAAAAAACAAAAAAAAAAAAACCACAATGCTGCATGTTTTTCAGAAAGGTCATTTCAGAAGAATTTCATTTTACACACACATTTACATACAAAAACACACAGAGAAACATGTATTTTTAAAGTAGTAAGTAAAATTAAACTCCCAGCACACTACCATTCAAGTTACATGTGGGATCTGAACAACTATTTCCAATCTCCTATTAGAAAAGGACAAAAATAAAACAAACTAAATCCAGCACTATGGTATACTATCAAGAAAAGATTCAATTTAATCTTTTTGAAGAAAAAAAAACTGCTCAGATTTGAAGGAAAGAGGAACAGGTTTTGCCAACTTCTCCCTCCAAAACCTCATAGGAAATGGGATGCAAAAGTTCAATTCCTTCTCCTCCCTGCATCAAATGAAATCCACTTTTTCCATTTCCCATCAGAGTATCTCAATAATCATGCTAGAAAAGAATGTCTTTTTGACATTCTGTGTTCATAATTCCACATCCAATAGATCAATACTGCACCCCTGCCAGCTGGAAGTCAATTAAATTAAACTAATTAGAGACATTTTAATTAATCTACTCAACAAGTATGATATACTTGAGGATATAATCCTCCAGTTACCACATTTGCATGGAACAGAGTGGCTCAAATTCAACAGGAGAGAGGTCATGTGTTTTGAGATGGTATTTATACAGTGTACTGTATAATACAGCACTGTGTAAATTACTAAGAAAAGCAATGTTTTAAATTCTAGTATCAAAGCTGAAAAACTAAGCTTATATGAATTAATTGCATTATTGGTTCTTCTATATTACTACTACTAATAATAATTATTATTGTAATTTTAGTTGAAAGGTTGACAAAAATGAGTGGGCAAAGAAAATAAAGGTAGTGTTGACACTCAATACTGCATAACAAGATGGGCTACATGCTGCCTTCCAAACTAGCAGCTTTAAAATCCTGAGCTATATTAAAATCCAGTGTAAAAGGAACACAGCCTGCTTTAATTTTTCATAAAGCACGGACATAAGCTTTACCACTCTATTGATCCCTTGCACACTGCCAAAGAACAAAGGTACTTACTACATGACTGCATCCTTGAAATCCCATTACTTGCTCCATGTAGATTGGAATCAAAGCTCTGACTGTTCCTCACAGTGACTGGAGAACTAGCAAAGCCAGAAGCATTGTTAATGGCAGGAGTACTTGGCATCCGAGCTAGGTTCGGCATGCTTCTTCGGAGTTTATCTGAAGCAAAAGAGCACAACATCCATAGTCATGTCAGAATTTGCAACAAACACAAGAAGCCTCTGAAAAAAAATCTGTAAAAAAATCAAAATTAAAACCGAATTCATTCAATACAAAGAAGGGTTTTGTTCCATAGGAAGAATAGGAATACATAATTGACAGCCTACCAATTGAACCCTTCTGACTATTGTAATACCACAATTATTCACAAGTAATTTATAAAACATCGATAGGCAATGCATTTTAGGGATAACAAAGATCTAAACACTATAGTGTAATAATAAGGATGATTTTCATGTAAACGTGTAAAATAGGTCAGATGAATCATGCCCTAAATGTGCCTATTTCTTTGCAGTGAATACAGAGGCGTCAGTGACAGTCAGAATATCTACATTGTGGATGTCTAAAGACAGGTGAGATGAATCCATCATAAGTGACTAAATCTTGCTTTCAGGTGCCAATGAGATGCTAAAAAAAATTCTATTCAGTACCTAACCTTATTAGCATGTTAGGTTTCTGCAGGAGGCCATGCACAAAACCTGCTAAGTCGTGATGCTGTCAGTTGCTTGGAGACCTGGGTTGACATCAGGATTTTCAAATCTGGTGGGTCTCCCTCCTATCCCACTTGTGGTGTCTGATTTGGTGGGCATTTTCAGAGCAGGCCTGTAGGATAAGGTCCTGCATAAAAAGAAAGCTGGAAATGAGATATCTGGGGGCAGGCTTAACAGCTAACTTAAGTGTCTAAGAGACTGGAAGTCTGAATTGCCTCCTGTGATGTGACAGACTTCAGTAAAGCACCAGTGTGTGGAAATAACAGGTCATTCAATAAATCTTGTTTGATAATAACACTAATATTGGCCTCAAACGTTGTGCTGCTGCTGACATGGCTACATTTCGTGTGGTACCATTCTCAGTGCAGTCCACCAGCTCATGTCCCTTCAGCAGGTTCCAATGCATGGTACAGATCTGTCTTCAGTTCTTACACTGCAACAGAAAGCAAGGGTGTGCTTTTCCTGTAAAACGTATCTGTGACTTCTCTCTTCAATTGCAAGCAGGGCATTTTGAGATTACAGTTTTGGATTTATGCACAGAAATAACACTTATATCACACATGGCTTGGAATTGCTGTTTTGGGTTGACCTCTTAACCCACACAGGGCAAGTTCAATTCACAGGAACAACAGATTGACTTAGGAGTCTCTGTTAATCAGTTCACATAAATATATAACCTATTTAGCACTATCATGAGCTCCTCTAATCCTTAAAGCTGATAACAATTGAGAGTAATAAGAAGTGACAGTATAGTTCTATCTATACAGTGTATTAGTAGTCACTAACAGTAACTTGAGTACATATGATGCCTATGTACCTTTAGTGAACTAAGTCACATCAGAAGGGTACAAGCTGTTAGCTGTTCTTATGACTGGTCCTCATGATAAGAACTGATACAGGATTCTGAAAATATTCAAAACATCTTTGCATTTCAAAGGTTCAGCATTTCTAATATCCTTATATCCCAACTCCCAATTAGTAGTGCCTACCTGCCCTTGTTGGTCTTCCCTTCCATCCCAACTAAGGTTGACTTGAATATGTAGTCTAACACAGAAAACCATTGCTATCTAGGAAATAGTTTACATAGCCCTATTCATATTATTGAAATCAAACAGTAAGTGTGGGAGGTAAGTCTGGGAGATGTTCAGTGCAAGCAAAGGGAATTCAAGGTTAGAGTTCCCAGAAACTAGAGCATAGCTAAATCGCAATAAATCTTTCCCAATATGAAATAGAATTGGAAGAACCTCTCTAAAGGGTAACTCTTCATCAAAGAGTTAGACGTGTTATGCTTCTGTGGCTCATCACTGACACCGGCAAACTGAAACTGTCAGTGGTATAGCAACAAACACTAGCAAAGGGATTACTATTGTGATTCAGGTAAGTATTCATATAATTGGTATAGTAATAACACAACTGTTATCAGGCTTCCAAAACCATCCTGGGGATGTGAACAATGGCATCCACATAGCTACTGTGTGCTCCTATTTCTGAAATATTCATGATTTTGCAAACTGGAAAGGGAACTGCCCAGAGCTGCGGAAATTTCATGAACATGAGATGTCTGTAACTACTGTTTATTTTGAAGACCAGGCCAACCCTTTAAACTCATGGGCCATGAAATCCTAGGCTAAAATTACAGCACTTGGCAAAAAGTCATTTGAGCAGTAGGATGGTGGTAGGGTAGATTACACTTCATAAATAGATTTTTGTCTAATACTATCCATGTATCACACAGTATAAGCCAAATTCCTTGGAATCTACATGCTTTTCCACTCTGGGACTGCATCAGCCACAACAGGAATAATCTGTGCCTAGAACTGTCCAGCGGATGCAGCTATAGTAGGAAAAAAAATGTATAGAAGTAGCTTGGATTTCCTCTGTGTCAAGGGTGGCCATTTCTTTTGCCTTCTGTTCATGTGTTCCTTCTTGTTCCAGCAGTCTGCTCTGCTGATGATTCAGTCCTCGGGCAGCAAATTCCTGCTGCACCTGAAAATTTTCATCCATCAAACATCTGCATTACTTCTTTGATGATTCCTTTTGTCTGCTGAGATAAATGGCCCTGAAAAGCAATGAAAATAGCAGGTCAATGTTATGTTTAAGGAAAACCCAGAAATGCTCATCTCGATAGTATTCTGCAGCTTTCATTTCCTTGGATGATGCATTCTCTTTCGTCTCTTTCTTGAAGTTTGTTCTGTCACCCGTTCCCCTCCTAAGAACAGTGGAGAGTCTTACAGATGTTTTCAGTGAAAAACTGTCTTCTGTGAGCGTGGTATACAGAAGTAGACAATGGGAGTTGTGTGATTTTAATATTATTTCAGGCCACAGAGACATGACTAGATATGAACTTGCTGGAAATCTATGAGAAGAAAACAAAAATATTTTGCTAAGACGCGTTCCCTTTTTAGAGCTCTTTGCTCTTCTAAGACTGATGAGAAAATTAACAGAGAGAAGGAGAGAAGTAGTAGAGCTGCGGTAAGTTCATTCTGTTAGGGACATGTGGCTTCTAACACCAGCGAGGAATTCCACAGCACCTGTGCCTTCCACAGTATCAACAGCTACTGTGATCCACTACTGAGTCTCATTTAAAATTTGGGCTGAGATAACCATGATGTTTAAGTAGGATGCAGCCATACAAGGCAACACAGATGTATCTTTGCCTTTCCCAGGCTGTTTTGAGATGTATTAGCATGACCTACAGACACTGTATTACTGAAATTTTTGAAACTTGAAGTACAAAATGCAACAATAGGTCATGCAACAAAAGTAATAATCAGTTTCTGGTTATTACCACCTTCTCAGAGTAGTTCATGCGTATACACACGTGCTTGTCACTTCATGAGTATTCTTTAGGTGGCATGCATTGTCCATGTTTCTCATATCTGCAGCAGAATGATCCACAAAAAATCTCCTGTTGCATGTTTATGCATCCTCCTCCATGTGGCATCCACATTGAACTGCACGTTGCCTACAGCACAGGAAAAACTAGGAATTATGAAACAGAGGTCCTCTGCCCTCACCTGAAAGTGTCCATGAAAAGACCTCCCCGTAGCATAGATCATAGTTACTACAGCAAAGAAACTGGTCAAAAAGCAGGCAAAAATGTCCCTTATCTTGTAAAATAATCTATGAAATTACAGTAAAGACAGCAGTTTGCCTCTTACCCAGTTGCTTCAGTTCTGATTTGTCCAAGAACTTCCTCCCCAAATGCCATTTTTTCTCTGAAGTCAGCCAGGGATCTGCAGTCCAACATCTTTCCGGTAGGAAAACACAACAGGCAGCACCTCCCTGTTGTCTTCTGGTTCCAGCTCTGTTGGTGGCCTCCCACGTTTCACCATTTCTCTCCTTCCACTGACCAAACACTATTAGCTGAAGATTAACATCCATGCTGCATGCAGTCAGGCTTTGTACTTGGAGCAAAGCTGCACCACAAGAGGTAAGATCTTGGTGGGCTGCCAAACTGGGAGTTCTGATCTTTGGGTTTCCTACAGAGGCTCTTGAAAAATATTATCTTCTCTCTGCCAAAACAGCTTCATCCACTGTGCTTCATCAACTAAAGCACTTCTAGCAGCCCTTGATTATGAATAAATGTCTCTCAATTGTGCTTCCCTCAGATCTCACAGAAGTGGCCCAGTCTGAGGGAACAGTTTCGAGAACAGATATTTCCTAGAATACTAGGAAATATAAAAATGTTGCCAATGCAACAGGTCCTTATGCCATGTCAGACTGAAATATCCAAATGGTATATATAAACCTGTCAGTGATTTCTAGAATTGGAGAAAGGTGTTAGCAGACAGCAAGAAAACAAAACCTAAAATGAACTATGGGAATACCTACTGGAGGACTACAAATGGATGGCCAGCAGCTTGCAGATTGATTATTCTGTATCCACTCTGTAAAACTGGCAGGTTATCAGCATAAGTGTTTTGAAAAAAGGATCATTGGACATATATTTAATAGGAGTAACTAGCCCAGATTTAAAAACACCAAACTGAGGTTAATTTGGACATTTAATGACTATTGACAGGAACAAGACTAAGCTCAAGTAGAGGTTATGTTGGGTCTATAGTGAAGTGTCTTAAAATATATATATTCATTCATTGTTTTTTTCATTTAGGTGTTGCCGACATTTTATTTGAACAGATTCACATGCCTGAACAAAAGTGCACTATAGTTAAGGAATATGACACAATGAATCATAATTATTCTGTCTCAGAGAAATCAATATCACTGTTTAAGCTACATTAGCAGTTTCTTTCACATATTTAAATCCTCCACATAAACCCTGCAAATTCAACCCCACTTTATCTGTACCCAATGCACAAAGAAATTAAGGGAAAAAAAATAAAAGGAAAAAATCTGTGGTTATCTGTTATTAAATATTATGTTCTACATTATTTAGATAGTCAGAATTTGTTCTGAAATCCTAAAAAAAAAAAAAAAAAAAAAAAAAAAAAAAAGCACTTAATTACAACTTCACCTTAAGGGATAGGGATATGTACTGTTAATTTCTCTTCCTCATCTTCAAAGATCTGAGATAGTATATACATTACATATATTATGCTTATAATATTTATAAATTATGCTTGTAACATCCTAAGTACACCAGGGTCTAGTTAAAGATCTATGGAATCATCTGTGGTGTAAAAACACAAATACAGATTGAGAATTAAAAATAAGTCTTTCAGTTAAGCAAGAGACACCATTCTTCATTATTGAAAGTATTTATATTTTGCTATGATGAGCACTTCGATTTTAATCAGACTTATTACTTCATGCTGGCATGTGTCTCCCTCCAAAGATCCCTAAAGCATATTAAAGATTTTTCCATTACCCTTTCATGACTTTTCTCCACTGTTTACTATTCTCAGAAAAACTTCAGGGATGACTGAGAAAGTTGTTGTTTTTTTTTCTCCTTTTCTTTAATAGTCTGCTAAAATTTCTTACTGATTTCTCTCTTCCTTACAGAACTTAAAGAGAGAGGCTAAGAGCAGAAAAGCATTCAGTAAATCAGTAAGAACAGGCCTTTTCTCACCCCTCCAAACACACAAATCAATGTCAGTCTATACTGAACTGGTATCTAAACACAGACCTACTTATTGACCCTAAAATGCTGCTGTTCTGTGGAGGGAGGGAGGGAGGGAGGGAGGGAGGGAGGGAGGGAGGGAGGGAGGGAGGGAGGGAGGGAGGGAGGAAGGAAGGAAGGAAGGAAGGAAGGAAGGAAGGAAGGAAGGAAGGAAGGAAGGAAGGAAGGAAGGAAGGAAGGAAGGAAGGAAGGAAGGAGGGGGGAGGGAGGGCAGCTGAACTGGGCACTGCATTCACATGTGGGCACCTACATCCCAGCATAGGTGTCTCCATCAGCAAGGCAGATCCCATCCAATACATGTGTATGGACACACAAAATGCATCCTAGGAATAAAACATTCCTTACTCATCCCTTAAAAAGTCCAAAAGCATTTACAGCAATGAATCAGAAGTCTTATCTGCTCAAACCTTTGCAAGCTCAGTTATGGGAAATGGCAAGGAGGAGCAGCCACCTCAGTCCCCAGAAGGCACGCATGTCTGCACAATCACTGTGACTGCCAGCCTCTGTTTGCTGACAGCTTGTTCCCCTTGCCCTTTCCTTCAGGCCAGCATTAAGCTCCTCTCAGCCTTGTCAAAACAACCCTGTTACTGGGGTGACAGTTAGGGGACTATCTTCCCAGCCACTGGGAACTGGGATGTTCCCTGTCTAGGTAAATTTTAAACATTTTATCTTTCCCATTTGTTTTCTTGAAGGCACTTCTTAATCCAGTTTCATATGAAGAAATATATTAAAACTACTCAATATGCACACAAGAGTATACTCTTAAAAAAATATTGAAATTTTCCAAGTTTATCACACCTTCAGTATATTTTTCACAATACAGGTAGTACAGGTCTAAAGTTAGAATAAGTATCTCAACTAGCATACCATACCAAACAAACTTCACTAAGGGCAGGTAGAACAGTACCTCCAATACTGTTTGTTCTTACGGGAAAAAAAAATGTACTCCAGCTAAACACATAGACAATTCTGGGGGAGGCAGTGCCAAAGTTCAACGCTGTTTTTCCTTCCCAGACTGAGAGCCAAAAGTCAACATTTATTTGCAAATTACTCTTCATTTATGGAGAATTCTGTGAATGACAAGATGAACCAGTGGCCAGACTGTTGACTCCATATACAAGAACACAACTGATCTCTTTGGAGGAAGAGAGAGGAATACTGTTGTAATGGCAGTATTATAGCACAGCATGGTGAAAGCTCAATTTTGATTAATTATCCATGATACTTTCCACATATATTGAAAGGAGTGACAGTTTAGCCTCTCCATCCATCACACACCCTTTCTCATCTGCCTTGGTAAAGTGTAACAGTCTGAAACATTGTCCATCATATTGAGGTTCAGACAAAATCTTATTCTGCAGTCTATCTCAATTTCAGCCTGTAGGAGTTCTTGAAAGACATTGTTGCCAAGATGATGAGAAGTGTGAATGAGAAGATACTGTCATAATACTCACACATCTTTGATACAGAAAAAAAATAAATAAATGCTCCTTGTCTGCCAATAAAACACAGCCAAAGTAAAACATTTCTCATGATCAGCATTTTCTATTTCTGTGGATCACTGCTGCATGAGTCATAGGGTGAAGGTGAAGAAGCTAAAGAGATAATTCTCCTCTAAAGATAGTGGTACAGTCTATTACAGGATTGTCTGTCATGCCAGCAAACAAGTAACTGCAGCCATACATGTTGATTTCCTAAGCAACACCAACCACATGACCCATCACCTCGAGATTTTTGAGAAAAAAAGACAACCAGGTGATAAAATTGGTGACATTTTACATTTACATATTTTCTAGTTAATAGTAAGAATTTTGTTATTTTTAGTGTGCTGCAAATATTTTTTGGGATTTTCATGTAGGAATCCAATGCCTAAGTTCTACTGACATGAACATGAAAAAAATCATTGAAAAAGGCTTTGGAAACCATACAGAGATTGCAGCACAACATCCTGCCCACATTACTGAATCAAAAATGTCCCATAGCCTTCCTCTCTCTCTCCCAAACAGATTTTATGAAAGCAGTTCACCGTTGTTCCATTCTTGTACCTCACTGTCGAGAAAAATAACATTGGAATGAATGTGGTACATATGCTGTACTGACAAAAGCCCACATCGCTGTACTCTACATTAACCTTAGCCTTCTTTATATGCTGCCACTTGTCGATTATACTTTCATGCTGTGTCTTACTTTCAATGCCAGTGCTCTTGGCACCAACCTGTCATGCCTGATTTGTCAGGAAAGTAACATGCATACCTGTAGCACTCTATAAATAGGAACTGTTTCGAACAACACATTTATTTTCTTGCCCAAGGCTGAGCTGTAACCTGTAATGTTACAAACAAGACCTTGACTGAAAACTGACGGTCTTAAATTAGCTTGGGGACTGAAGGAACAGCAAAGTAAGACACAGCAGGAGGAAGAAAATTGTGATCATAGTAAGGAATGAAAGGAAGGTAACAGCAACAATGGAAGGAAACTTAATTCTTGAATAAGTACTGAGAGGAAAAAAAAAGTCAGAGACTCTGAAACACATCTCTAATGCAGTGCAAAAAGCAGTAAGGGCTCAGGGTAGTTTGGAAGTGACGTTATCTTATACTACTTCAACAGACTACCCTACCAGACTTGGAACAAGAGCATTCACCCTTGTCACAAGCACTCATTGTGCATTCACAGCAAAGCTACATTAATGGAAAAGTTAGGAAGTAAGAAAGAGAATGTAGTTAGGAATGAAATGTCTTGTAAATATTTCGTATTTTGATGGATCTATGATGGCCATACATAGGTCAAGCACAAAAACCTAATCAGGTTTTCCAGCTAACCAGAAGATGCCTAGAAGATGCTCTTTTTCCTTTTTCTTCTTTCTCCATTTGTGCTCATACAATTTTACAGAACATTTTAATGCTGACTAAAGTACTTTCATGACTGAGTCACGGATTACATTTGGCAGCAAATTACCTAACAATAACACTCCTCTAATAACAAAAAGTCACAATCATTTGCACAGACTTAAAGTGGTTGTTGCAATTAATGGACTGACCTAGTAGTCATAAACTAAACACTTGACACTCGATTTTCCCAACGTGATCCTTAAAACTGGCCGTTTGAACAGAGAGGCACAAGGAAAAGACTTTCTTGGAAAAGCATGCAACCCACCTCCATTAATCCTATTTGGTTGCTGCTCTGGTGTTTGGGCTTGAGGAGAATAGTAGGGCTGCTGATAAGTACTTGAAGGGAAGTGCTGGGAAGTTGGGCTTCTCCTGCAGTCCCGAATACTGGAGAAAGTCTGTGAATGTGGGATTCCTCTCTGGAATGGAGAGCAGCGGGTGAGGCGTGGTTGTGGAGGTGGGAGGTGGTCAAACTCTTCCTCGTCTTCAAGGCTATAGCGATCATATTCCTGGTCGCTGCATGTCCCCTTCTTTCCTGAGTGCAGTGATACACTCGAACTGTGTCTTGATACTGATGCTGAAGTTGAAGCATAATCTTGTCTAAGGCCTGTAAATTCCAAGAAGAGGATGACTTGGCTTCTGCTAAGGGATCAGCTCTTAACATACACTTCAATCCTGCAGACTCAGCAAGTAAGCAGACATAATTTTACAGCAAGAATTGGATTGGCAATGTGACCAAGCTGAAGATCTGCTGTAGGATTCAGCAGATCTCTTTCAGTGTCTCATTTCAGGTATCTGAGCCTGAATGACTTCCCTTGAGATTTCTTTTTAATATGTTTGTTGTTTGCTTGTTTGTTTGTTGTTTTTTTTTTTAAAGAAAAAATAAATACAGTCATCTCCAAAATGCAATATGTGTGAGTTAGATGTGTTAGCTGCTTCTCTTAAAATAACATGAACTGCCCTCAGGGGGTGCCTATTTATTTCTCTACCAGTGAGAAGACTACATGAGTATCAAGTATTTAACTTCTAAACACCCTAAATCGGAGGAGAATTCAATATTCACCCAATTAGTTTTCCAAATCACTATTATACTTTTATATTCCTGCAATAAAAATGCTAGCAATTACATTTCCTAAACATATAAGCCATGAAAATATTCCAGCTCTCCAACCTCTCTGTTCCTGCTACCACCCAAACTCACATAAAAGGGTTGGAGGTAGGTAGCACCGTGGTATTTTAGACACGTGCATTTTACCACATTCTTCTCAAAATGTCAGTTGTTGAAAACTATCCCATTATTAGCACTGCCCCAGAAGAGCAAGTTTGCTCCAGGTTAAGTGAGGGGGAAGTATCCCTCTCAGCCCTCCCACATCCTCTTTTTCCTGACTGCACAGCAGCCAGCCCTGGAAGACATCGCCTTTCCAGCAGCTGAGTAATTCTGTGAATAGCTGGGAATAACAACTTCCTTAAATTTACAAAAAACTCTCAGCCTTAACAGATGTCTTTGTTACCATAATGGAAATTACTTAATATGCTTGTTTTTCCCTCTTGAGTGAGAGTTTCTATTCATGCAAGCAAAGGTGCATGCATAAACATTCACATGAAATGCTACCACTTTCTGCAGTGGACAACAACCATCATTCAAAGATTGTGTACAAATTGCTACGACAAGAATGAGATACAACAACACTGGAAATAGATTAGAAGAAAAAACGTATTTTTTTCCAGTTTACCTATGACCTGATTTCTTAGAGAGCTAAGTACCTGAAGTCTTTTTTAAACTTAACTCTGAAGGAGGACAGCACAGATGCCATTTAAGTAACACATTCCTTCATATGTTTGATAGTCATAAATATACATATATATTTAAATTCTGATCACTTTCACGTAATATCAGAAATTTTCCAAGCCATGACAATACACATTCACTAGTTGAGAATTCAGCTCCCTTGGAAAGTTTCACACTTGCTGATTTTTTCTGCTGAATGTAACTAGTGCTACCAGACTTACAGCAAGTTCAATTGCTGACAAGTCTGGTTGGTCCGGCCACATTGGATCTCTTAATCTCTTGCTCACATTTTATCTTCATTTAACGTAGTCAGATATTATTTTGCACTCTCCTTCAGTCATCATCTCTGAACTTCCTTTGTTTTTAATAACATTATTTCCTCTTTTATGTATTACTTGGCACTCATAGAAAGTAAGAAAGATATTGTCTGTTGTCTGAATGGATTCTAAGTCAAATAGTCTTTAATAAAATAATTTTCCATAAATTATTATCAAGCCAGAATATAATGTCAAAAAAGCCTATGGGCTCAGATTTGTGCATAATCACAAGTCTTACACCAAGATGTCAAATTCCTATACCTCAAAATTAAGAATTTAAAGTATCAAAATTAATTTGAGAATTAATAAAAACAAAGTAGGGGCAAAAAAAAGTCCATGAGAACTGCTTATATTTTTATTTTCTCACGACATTTATGCATGAAAAAATGCTTTAGCATCTCCCTTCCCCCTCATATAAAATAATTTAAATAGCATGGTAAGACATTTAAAACAGCTAACTAAAAATGTGCTCAAGGTGTATGGAGCTACCAGTTGGGATCCAGCAATACATAAGAATCATGTTTTGAAATATCCAGTATCCTTAACATGAACCCAACAATGTTGACACCTTGTGCTTCCAGGTGAAAAATTTTTCCACCTGCCACTGAAGAGGTGACTCCTTTTAAGAAAGGTCCGATTGACTGAGACCAGGCAGGAGCAGTTCTGACTGTTGTGGGTGATCTTCCTCAAATTATTCTGAAAAACAATTAAGAAAAAAGCCACCTACTCTCCTCCTGTAGACGAGCCATGATCTGAACGTCGGTGAGGTCCTGCAGTTTGTATCCCATGGAGATGGAGTCATCCTCCAGCTCTGAGGTGCTCAGCTCACTGTCTATTGATGACTGTGGGCTCAAAGGGGAACTTCTAGAAATGTAACCTATGTAAGAAGAACAGATAATCTTTAGTTTGTGAATATGTCTAGCCATTTCTCATTCATGACTAACTTCCCTTTATGTTACAGTAGCTTAAAATATTTATATATATAACAGATGAAAACCTTCAGAAGTATAGTGCAACCGACTAACAATTAACAAAGGGACTTGATACTCATAAGAAGTATAGTAACAGATCACGAATCCCTCTGCTTGTTCCCAAAAGAGTCCTACAGAGCCCAGACAATGAATAATTTACTGAGTTCAGTTCTGATAGCTCAGACTAGATAGTGTACTCTAAAACTATCTGCATTTGAATCCTTACGAGACTCTGGTTCTCCCTGTTTTGTTCTGAAAACTGAGTGCATATGTGCCTCCAACTTCTGCTCAGTACTCAGATTCCTTATTCTAGCAATTTACCTGTTTTTCTTTAAATTGTTTATTATCATCAGAGAAATAAGTTATTATAAAAATTAAGACTGAAAAATGATGCAACAACAAAGAGAAAACAATGCCTCCTTCACAGAGGTAACTTTCAGAGAGGGCTCTTGATTCTACTTTTTCCTGCATAGTTGTAAAAGTATAAACTAAATTGCAATTAGTTGAACGAGCTAGTTTTTGCCCAACTTTAGAGATAATTTTTGCAAATAAAATGCAGTTTACTTCTTAATACCCTTTGGACCACCAAAGACTCACTGCCTACAGGATAATAACCACTGTGATGAAGGCTCTTAACCTGTGCTTATATCACAGATGTGTTTGCGTCCTCTAGCACAGCATCCACTAAAATTCATCATAAAATCAGCCGTTCTCTAACAGGATCTCCAACAGAAAAGCACATGCAGTGAAGTACTTTGCTTTGGAAGGATTGTAAGGGGGAAATATATTTGCCTTTTCAAATTTGCAAGTTATAATGGTTCTCTAGGTTTTGCAGAGATAGTAACAGCTGTACTCTTTTGGAGCATCAGTTGGAAACTAGACATGAGAGACAGAACTAGATGCTTTTGTTTAGGAACTAAATGGCATCCCACTGAATAGGGGAGCTTAGATATCTAGCTCACACACACCTACATGAGGCATTTAGAGTCTGTGTCTGTATCTCACCTGCTGCACCCTTATTTCTTAACAGGGCTTTGTGCACGGATTTCACACATGGTAAAGAAAATTGCACAGAGAGCAGTGTGGCACAGAGCATACCTGCTACTGCCAGCAATACAATGTTAATGCCTCTTTCCCAAGGGATTATTTTCTCCATTGCCATTTCAGCTTAAGAGAAGCCATAGATATAAACTGACTCCTGATACCTGTACTGAAGAAGGAAAAATGCAGCTCTTCACAATTAACTGAAAAAGTGGGTCTTTTTCCTAAAACTCTTGTGTCCCCTTAAAATTGGTGGCAAAAGTAAAATAAATCTTGGATAGTAGCAGTGGTGCCAGATTGAAAACAGTCATCTTTCTGCTGGCTGCTTTTCTAACAGGTAAATTCTCCATGGTGGAGTAAGAGGGAAGAAAGGGCAAAGCTGGGGACTGTTTAAACTGATGCTGTTGCAACTATACGCTCAGGTTAACCATTATTGAGCGCTAGGCTGTTTATTAGCATTGCCTTCCCTGGCAATGCTAATCCAAAAATTAAAAATGGAATCTAAAAATTCCACTTGCCGTGGAACACAGAAAACAGCCTACATTGATAGCTAATTGCAAAATTTTAGGTCATTTTAATAAAAGAATCTCTCTGAGATGAGAGTCTATACACAATCATCTGAAAGGTGCATTGTTGTTAAATGCTAGCAAGATTAGATTTGATTAAACAATTTTGTAAGCCCCATAAATCCACAAAAAGTTAAGCATTACCTGTCCGTTCAGGTGTTAGTATTGCTTTACTGGAGGTTTTAGAGAAGCTGGGACTATTAAAGCCATTGGTATATGGGGTGAGTCTTGCAACAGGACTATAGGGAAAAGCCAAGGAGACAGGTGTAGAGAAGAGGTTCCGCCATCGGCTAGCTGTTACAGATGTGAGGGAGGAGGGGAAAAAAAAAAAAAAAAAAGATTTATAGTTATAAATAGAATAGTGCTATTAGAGAGAAAATCATCTAACAATAATCTCTTCATTACACATCGTTTACTTATGGCAAATGGGAAATAATGGTTCGAGTTCAGCAGCAAAACAGAAGACCAGCAGAGCCTTCTATATGTAAGACTTTGTTCCACTGAGTTTTCTAGTAAGTATGTGTTGTTTGCTATTTTCTATGTATACACCATTTTGGCATATATTTATCACCTACATCATTGTGTGTCAAGACAAAGTAACAGAGGAAGCAAAACCCGTTACAGTTAATAGAGAAACAAATTAAATTTGTAGTGCTCTTCAAGGAATCGTTCATGGCAATCAATCATCACACAATTGAATTACAATTATCAGCTGTGAGAGTTCAGAGACAAAGCAGTAAAATATACCCAACCAAGGGCTAAAAACAACCATAATCCCATAGCAGGCTTTTAAGCTACCATGACATATTCTCACTTCTCTTTTTACAGTGTTAAGTTTGTGGCTACAAAAGCATGAAATTTTTTCACTATTTTTGAGGACCAACCAAATAATAGAACAGAGCATATCTTTTTCTATGGATGGCTTACAACAAGGTTGAAAGGCATATGGTTTATTCAGTAATGTCACAAAGAGCTTAGAGTGGGCAAAAATACTAAAGGTTTATTTAATTTATATTCTCTTAGTTCTCCTATTAAAATAGGAATACATCTATAGTTTGGTTTGCTTATTTTTAGCATGTGTTAAAAAAAAAAAAAAAGTTAAAATAAAAAATATTCATGCAGTCTTTGGAAAATAAATACTAGATAGAAAAGTTGCTGCAAGTAAAAGGAAAAGGTATACTTTTAAAAATTTAATTTCATGGAACACATTCAGATGTAAGCAGTTTGTGCAGAAGAAAAACAAAAGATCATATATTTATTTATGATAGATTATTTTTTTTTCCTGAGAGATGCTGTTTACAGTGACACAAGGGAGGGGGCTAGGGATATACTCATATCTAGCTTAGAAATCAATGGGATAACTTTGACATTTAGCAGGAGTACTTTGCTGTGACAAGTGTTGCCAACCAGTTTCAAAACCAAAAGTCCTCAAAAGCTAAGTGTCTGGCACTGGAGTTTATATATAATCTACTCTATTATATGGACTTGTTCATCCGGTTGTTCTATGTGCTCACAGATATTCAAACAATGTTTAAGCATTCCATGTTTTAAAACCCTTCCGTCACCGAAATGATTTAGCAGGACATACAAACTTTATTCTTCCTTCTTGATAACATCAACGCAGAGTGGCCATGGGGACAGAGGGGAAATGCATCATGTTGGCAGGCTGTCAATCTCATTGCTGCAACCTTTTGGAGTAATCAATAGCTATCATTCCAAAATATAGTGTTTCCCCCATTCCTTTTGATTTGTCCCACTCAAAGAGTTTGTCCCACTCCTGGGTTTGCAAGGACAAATCAGCCTTTTGTACTCTTCCCATCAGTGCTACTAAGCTTACAGTGAAGGAAACTGCTTGTTTCCAACCCTAGCCTGCAGTGGAAGGGAAGCACCTGCAATCCTTAGTGTCTGAAGGAGGGAAGTAAGATGTAAGAATGCAAATTGTGATCTTTTCTGTCACCTCATCACAGAATTATTACAATTCCCTCATTTTTCATGATTCTAGTTCCTTAAAAAAGCTTAAAAAAAAAAACAAAAAAAAACCACCCTACAGTTCATAACTAGGAGTAGCATCAGCACCACTTCTAGAAAATTGCCCAGTGCCTAGCAACACAACTGCTTCCATGCAGAGCTATTTGTCCTTAACATTTATTGAAGTGATCAGTTTAAAAGTCAAGTATGCAAGTGTTACAGGATGAAAAGGAGAGCAAACTCAGATGACCACAACTCTACAAACTAGTGTGTAATACAATGGCTAGGGATCAGATTAACTCAAAAGAAGGCAGAAACTAAACTGCTTCACAGCATTCACTTAAAGAAACATGCATGATAGTATAGATCTAAATATCATATACACAGCTAATACTTGCCACTTCCACTAGAAGTCATCAGTGAGGAGCAAAGGATGACAGTTCCTTAAAATTCTATTTTTCTGCCTACCACAAGATCTGGTTTTGTCACAGTCTGATCATTTGCCAGGCCAATTAGCTGCCAGCATGTTCTCACCCACAGATGTGGTCAACCATACAGCACGAATAAACATTATTCATTACTCTGTACAATCACTACTGTGAGCTGGCCCATGAAGCACAAAGCAACAGTTATCATGACTGTGAAAGCAAGAACCCACAGTACAAATATAATCAGTATTTATGGCAAAACAGATTCCAAATTACTCTTTCAAATAGTATGGGTTCTCAAGGGAAGAGAGAGAAGGATGCCAACAAACTCTAGAGAAATACTGTTCTAATGTCCCCAGTTCTACGGCTTTTGGTCACCATGTACCATCTATAACCTGAGAGTGTTTAAACTTCACCTAAGAACTGACATTGTTTATATATACAATTAGTTTCATTATTTGGGATCAAATATAGAAAAACATTTTCATTAGGTTTCAAATCGAAATATCAAAATGAAGTACATAGTGAGTGCCTCAGCAGTATTAACAAAGACAGCAAAATCAGACTTACTTAAGTCTTGTGTTATACCAAAAATATAAAAAGGTACGTAGGAAAAGACTGATACGTACATCTAAGAAAAACTATAATTTAATGTAAAAATTTGTAAAATCACAGAATACTGAAATGGATAGTCATTTTAGGACAGTTATTTTACTCCAAACTGATTCTGAGACTGCCCTGATTAGCACAGTAAAACACTATTACTCATGCAAAGATTTGCACTTCCTTCACTGTTTGCAGCAGACTCTTTCCAGAGAATGAGACAATGTTGTGATGACCCTTATTTTAAATTTAAAAGTCCATCTGTTAGACTCCGATTTTTATAATATTTGTAGTTTTTCTTAAAGCCCCAACTCTGGTTATCCAGAGATGATTAAAAAACTCACCTACCCTTCAAAAACAAGGAAGTTTCTAACCCTTGCATTTGAATAGAAATTTGAATAATCCCTCTCCGAGTGCCTTATACTGAAGACACACTAAAGGAAGCTTAGGGATATGGTTTAGCTTAGGGATATGGTTTAGCTTAGGGATATGGTTTAGCTTAGGGATATGGTTTAGTGGGGACTGTTAGTGTTAGGTTAGAGGTTGGACTTGATGATCTTGAGGTCTCTTCCAACCTAGAAATTCTGTGATTCTGTGATTCTGTGAAGAAAAAGTTTCAGCCATGGAAAGGAAAGCAAGTATACCTAAAGAACAATCAAGAGAAAAGAAGCAAAAAAAAAAAAAAATCTATTTGACTTACTCATGGAAAAGTATTAAATGCATTAATAATTAGAATTCTTGAAGTATGAAGCTGTTGGCCTTTTATGCCAACAAATGGAATTAATGTTCTTTAATATGAAAATATAAATTGTCCTAGTCTTCAAAGTAAACAGTTAGAATGGAAGTGCCCCATGATTTTCCTGGATTTGATCAATTCTTAATAACTAGATTGCTGATAGCATAACGTGTTATATACTATAACTACTACATATACAATAATATTTTTTAAAAAGACTTCTCAAAATGTCTACATGTACATAATCAAACTAAACCTTTCCTTTAAAAGTTAAATCAGCAACAAGGGGGATTTTTCATAACTTTAAAATGTTCACTAAGACAACTGAAAATTTTAAAAATTAATTAAGATCTCATTTTTATAACTTTTCTGGAAATATCAGAAGCTACAGTAGACTAGAGTAATAACTCAGAGCAATTATATACACAGAAATATTCACCATATTGATTGTTGTTAATAATCAACTTTTGATAAGAACTGATGGAAAAATTTACATGAAAATGGCAATGAGGAAACATATATACGGAATTTCAGAATTTAAGCTAAGTAAGGTACTCTAATCACACATACAAAAATCTGGTCTTGAAAGCAAAGCCAAAATGTACTATTAAAATTAATGGGATCATTCATAAGCTGGGACACAAGGTAAAAATGGCATTGACCCTCATCATGTTTTAATTTTGTGGAGTTACACTGAAGCAGAACAGAGACAGATCGAGCGCTGGTGCTGTATGTAAAACACTGAACTACCTAAGGATAACAGCTTCCAAGAAACCAAAAGAAGTACATGCACATTTCAAACACCGTTCATTTTCATAACTCCACTATGAAACTCAGTTTGACAGAATTCTGTAACATGGCAACTTACCTTCTCTCTAACAACACAAATGAAAAATATTTCTTTGCTATAAAAAACAGAAAACAAAGTCATAAAAAATGTATAATATTACTGACTAAACAAATTATATTTGAGTTACCATCTAGGCTGTTCATCCATTCAATTAGCTTAAGTTTTATATAAGCCTTCCGGCTAGAGACAAAAATACCTTTTGAATTCAAATCTAAAAAATAAACTGAATTGCATATATACATTTATTTGAACACAGGTACTAACTACATGGCTTCAACAAAATCTCTCCATTGAGAGAGCCAGAAAATTGTAGGAGTATTTACAATACTGTCAATTCAGTAAGTTCAAAACTGCAGGTCAGGATAAATCTAGGGTCTTCTGCTGTGCCCTGTGCCCCTTGCACTGTCACCACATCCTGCCTGCATATCAGTCACACAGCTGTTTCTTGCTGATGCACTTTCTTTTTAGAAGGAAACCCAAACTACTTCTGTGGTATATTCTGCATATAGGCAGTTGCACAACATCTACGCTTAAAAGAAAACTGTCTTTCCCATGAGTAAAATACACAACCCTGCATGGGAAATACAGGTATTTCATTGATCACTGGGGAAATTAAAGAGTGCTAGAAGAAAATTCAAAACCCACTCCTTACTGTAGTCTAAACCAGCTAAGAGGCATCATCCAACTGAGACATATGTAAAACACCCTC